ATGTATGTCATGAACTGTACTAGACCGCATATAGCATACTCAGTTAGTAAATTAAGTAGATATAAGAGTAATTAGGGAGTAGACCATTGAAAGGTAATTATTAGGGTTCTAAGATACTTAAGATAATACCCTGAATTTTTGATTGCGCTATACAAGATATATAGTTATACTTGAAGGGTATAGTGATGCTAACTAAATTTTTGATATGAAGAATACAAAGTCTGCAAGTAGTTATATTTTTACACTTGGTGGTGAAGCTATATATTGAAAATCCTCTAAGCAAACGTGTATTGTCAAATACACAATGTAATCTAAATTTATTACTTTAGATAAAATAGGAAAGGAAACTGAGTGGCTTCGCCAATTTTTAGAGGATATTCTAATATGGACTAAACTTGTGCCATAATTTGTATACATTGCGATAGCCAATCTGTAATTGAAAGGGCACAAAATGACATGTATAATGGTAGGTTTAAGCATATAGGTTGCAGACATAAATACCGTTAGACAATTGCTCTCAAATGGAATGATTTCTATTGATTATATAAAATCAAAGAATAATCTAGAGGATTCATTTACTAAAGGTTTGATGAGAGAGCAAATAAATTGCACAACTAGGGGAATAGAGCTAAAGCCTTTGACTTAAGAGTCAACTTAATGGCAACCCACCTAATTGACTAAAGATCCCAAGATCTAGGTTTAAAAGGACAACCAAATTACACTTGATTTAAAAGAAGTACCAATGAGATAATTTTTCCTACATATTCCTATGATAAACTAGTGTTGCTTCCAAAGTTTATTAAGGTAAACTATACTTTTAATGAATTTTGTGCCTTAGAAACCCAAGTAGGATATTTTAGGATATTTCTAATAGCAGTCACCTATATGGGTGTGAAGGGGCCGCTTCTATAAGAATTTATAAAGGTTGAATTCTCTGAAGTACTCATGAAAACCAGTAGTTGTTTATGGTCAAAATGAACACAATCATGAGAACTAATTGCATTAGGAAAGAGACTGTGTCAAGTCTATTCGATTTGATTTATCAAACAACTGAATAGTTTAAGATACACGTTTACTATTCAGCCGGTAAAGTTGATGGGCTTTCACTATGGAAGGTTTAAGGCCAAAAACTACCTATCTTGATGCATGATTCTTCCAAGATGTACTATCTATAGTGTTAGCATTATCATTTACATACTAACAACTAATTTTTCATTAATGTGGGAGATTGTTGGAACCAAAGAATTTTTTGTGAATTAAAACTAAATTTTTGGTAGACTTTGAGTCTATATTAAAATAGAACTCGCTCATAGTTTTGAGTAAACTTTCGTAGGCTCTTGTGGTGACTGTCCGGATTAGTCACCATTCTGTCTATAAATAACCCAAATATATAACCATTCTGTACGAATATATAATTTATAAGATTGAGGAAGTCATTAGTATTCATAATTTTGCCATTAAGCAATCTTCATTTTCTGAGAGTACAATCACAATTTTGGTTCGCTAGGCATTTAGATTGGAGTACTATTTCTAAATGGGTGAAGATCATTGTATCTTGAGAGGCAGACGCTTTGATTTCCATAAGTACCAAATGTGAGGGCAAAATATGTCTTAAGGACATAGTATCAAACACTAACTTTGATCTACATAAAGTTCAATCATAGTTTATGATCTGCAAATGAGTCAGTTTATTTATTGTTTAATTATAAATTTATGCGTAACTGTTTTATTCTTAAATGTTACTATTTTATTCTAAATTGTATGATACAAATAAAAAATTTTAATAAGTAATTTCGCTATATTTAGAAAATATCCAAACAACAGATATTAACAATAGTTGAGGTTCCATTGTTTTGTTCAAGGTGAGATTACAATATTGAAGGAGATTTAGGTAAATATGGGCTGATTTCAACTTGTTTGAGGTCAAGTTATAATTCAATTGGTCTATTACATTTCAATGGGGTTTGATACGTGGCTAGGTTGGGGATTAGAAGTTAGATGGACGAGAATACATCGTGGTTAATTGATGATTAGGTAGGATAATTATTGAAATAGTTATGGTAGAGTAGGAGGCAGTCGGGATAGGTTACAACAAAAAGAAATTGTAATTATAATAGTCCAAATGTTTAAATCAATTATGAATTGGTAGGATCAATCCCTAATACCTATTTTATGGTAACATCAGTCATTTTATAAAATCAATACGATACCAAAAAATAATTTTTTAATACGGTATTTTTACTCTTTTGTTTGACATTTATGAAAATGCGGATATCTAAAAGTGTAAGTTAATGTTTGACAATTAGAAACATTAGATTTGAAGTATTAGATTTTTTTTTTTTTTCATATACCAATAATGGCTTCCTACTTCCTATCAATTAGTCTTTTGCGTGTGGTTTTCTTTCCATAACAACGAACTAGTTGGCTTTTCTTCGTGTTGTGTAATTACAATGGTTGCTACTAACCATTTTAGACTTAAACCATTTGCAGATGTGGCTAAAGACTATTTGTCAATTTGCAGAAATTTGGTTTAATTTCATCTGCTAAATCAATTTTTTTTTGTTTCTGGTAATCCAATCATTTATCTGATTGTGCTACTTGAGAAGTTAGTACTGTTTTATCAATGTGGACGCAAAGTTTTGATTTTATGTAATGATAGTATTAGAACCTAATTGGCTGATTTGATGATAGATATATTAACTTTTAACACAAGATGATAAAATAAGATCAACTTGACATGACAAGAACTTGAAAATAAATAAACTAATAAACACATATAATAGGTAGGTCAGATTAGAATGGACACATTTGGAAGAAAATGTTAATTTCAAACATGGATCATCTGATTATTGCACCATAAACTGTTTTAACTGATATTATCGAAAAAAAAAAGATCCCAATTGTTCATTTTTTTTGGTTTGTGAGTTGCACAAAAATGATACAAACACAATATAAAAATAACACATTCCCAAATAAAATAACAAAAAGATAATATAATTTAAAATGACATGAACTCAAAAGTATTCGACATGAACATAATGGCTCGTTTGAAACCCTATTTAGTAAATTGTTCGCGTTTGATTAACAATGAACCTCATTCAATATTGAGATTTCATTATTAATTTATCAACAATAATAGATTAAGCAAGCACATTAAGTCGTATTTCTCATAATATAAGCATAGAATTGGAAGAAAAGAAGGCCACATCAATGAAGATAGCATTCCATTAGGAAAGCAACCTTAATTGAGAAATTAATGTACAACATTCCATGTTCAACATGTAATTGCATGCATTTTATAATAAGCAATAGGCCAAGCACTACCGACCTCTTCAACGATAAAAAAGAGGCTAGTGGGTGATAATTTAATGAAGAAGTCATAATTATAATCATCAAAGTTTTACCATTATTAGTCCTAAGTAGGGCAACATGGTTATGAGGTGCCCATTTTATCAATTTCCCTAGTTTTTTTAACTTCTACATAGGGCAAAGTGTTTATGAGTTGTAGCATAAACGATTTATCTATGGTATAGAAGTATTTTTTCAATGATATATGAAAAGTAATATGCAACGTACATTTTGAATTTAAATTATTTATAAAAATTGATTACAAAGACAACAAAAATAAAATAAAACAATAAAAATAAACTTTACCGATATCACACTGAGGTCTAGTCTATTAAAAAAGATATTCAAAAAGAAGATTTGTAATACATTAGCGTTGTCAATAAGAATTCTACATTTCACAGTATGAGTCTTAATGGGTCATAGCATGTCATGCTTTTAAGTTATTTAAATCATCTCATGTCAATTTTTTTATTTTATTTTTTGGTCAGAATATAAACATGCCAAAATTTTGTCCAATTTAAACCTATTTCATATATGATCATGCCACAACATATTTGTGCCTTATCAAATTTCTGTTGTATTTAACCAATCTTGTTTATGAAAGTTGATAGATTCACTTATTTAGCTTAATATTAGTTCTTAATTCAAATAATAATGAAATAAACTAAATCACCGATGTATCTTACATCGGTTACACAATTTGTGTGGGGTTCATGAATTTACCTCTGCTCCTTCTTCATCAAAAGTTATGTCTTTTTAAGAGTAGATATGAACTATGATTTAAAATACTTGACTGTCTATCAAGCATTGGCAAGTGAACCTCTTGTGCATATTTATGTTTAAAAAAATAAAATAACATATCCATCTGGTTTTGCACCTAGTGGTGTTTTTTTTAAACTGGCCTCGTGGTTTAGTTGATTAAAAAAGATGGGGAACATGGAAGTGTATTTTGGGAGTATAAAATACTGGCAATCACTGTTTCTTGTATAATAAACAGTAAAGAAAGATAATGAAGAATAACTCGAGTAAAATTATAAACTTGAACAGGGAACCGCACTAGTCAACTTTGTGAGGCTTTAGTCAGTCCCATCCCCGGGTGGTGAGAGAAAACTGAATAATTTTTTGTAGAGAAAGAAAAGAGAAAGACAGAGAACCGAGTAGAGAGAGAAAATTAAAGCTACGAGGAGTGGGCCAGAGAGAGGTTATTGTGTTTTTTTAAATAGAGAGAGGAGGAATAGAGAGAGGAGGAAGGGGAGAAAGTTGAAAAGGGTTGGCAGAACAAGAAGAGAAAGAAGAAGAGAGAGAGATGTCTGGGAGATGTAGTATGGAATAGGGGGCAAAGCTGCAGCATTTGGTCTCTACAATCCTCAGCAAAAACAACACCCTCTTTTTTCAAAGCACCTCTTGTCGGTACTACTACTTTTCCCGGCAACTTTCCAGGACTATTTTCGCCGGAAAATACCGCCGGCAGCTCCTAACCCTTCTGTCTTTTCCATTTCACAAAGAAATCGAGCTTTTTTCTTTCTTTTTTAGGAAACTATGCTACCAGCTTTTTTTTCCTTTTTGTACGTTTTCTGGGAAAGTACAAGAAACTTTTTTCTTCCTGAGCTGAGAAAGTTAACCATAGCAAACAGCCCACACTTTGGACACTTTTAATTCACATATTTCGAAATCTGAGTACTTATTTCGTCTACTGTGCTGAGAATAGCTAGTTCAAGCTCCTATTTTAGGTGGATTCGATTCTATTCTCGAGATTCTGTATTTTGTTGTGCATGTTTTCGCCGGAGCTCCGATTACTCGCCGGGAAAATGAAACTAGGATGATGTTTTCCGATCACTGCTAACCTTCAGTAGAGTCGCAGGCAAATCCGTATAATGAAGGCTTTGGCGGCTTGTGCCGGAGCTCAATCGACGACGGAGACCACCATTCCCGGTGAAGGTCAGACTCTGTCTCTCTCTCTCTCTCTCTATATATATATATATATAACACCTCCATTTGCTTTACCTTGTGTCTTTTCTATACCCATTTTTTGGAAAAATATGAGGGATTTTTCAGCTTTTAATCTTCTGGCTCGTTAGGTGTGAATAGCATTGTAGCACTGCAATACTAAAATATTGACATTTTCCGAACCCTTTCTTTTCCGGATTTTTCTCGGGAAACAAACACTGACACGTGTCTCGACCCAACAACTGTAAAGAGAGGTTGAAATGAGGAGCTCAAAAACAAAATTCTGGCTCGATGTAATTGAAATAGCAGAAATTCATATTTTCTTCCGTTTTCCCTGGATTTTTCTCGGGAAACAAACAAGAATTGGCTGACACGTTTCCTATGCCAATCGGTAGGCAAGAAAAGAAATAATTTGCAGGAAATTATGACAACTTTTAACTTATTAATCTTCTGGCTCTTATTTCAGTTTTTTAATCAAAGTGTGAATGGCAGTTGAATGAGTCTTATTTTCTGTCTTCCGTGCATTTTCTCCGGAAACAAACAAGGGGTGACTGATATAAGTCGGTGTTGTGTGGCATGAATAACTTAGCAGGAGAGAAGAAGAGTATAAATCCGGAGCTATGGCAGGCTTGCGCTGGGCCACTGGTGAATTTACCGGCAGCTGGGACCCACGTCGTCTACTTTCCTCAAGGCCACAGTGAGCAGGTTTGGGTGTAAATATGACTTTAGTATTGTATATGTGTGATATTCATATAGTTGTACAAGTGAACTTGCTTTCCCCCCCCAAAGGTAGCGAGCCTGCTGAAAACTCAGCCTAATGCTAGTTATGTATTTTGTTAACGAACTTGCAGCCTAATTTGGACAATTTTTTGGGATTCAACAACTCTCTGTTTTTTTTTTCCATACCATTCTTTGCCGTCCTGCAATCTAACCTTGATATGTTGCACATTGTGGCTTGAAATAAATATTTGCTTGAATTTGGAGAAAGTTTCAGGGTTTTACGTAGTGGGTTGAATTTGTGTGATTGTTAAAAATGTCATACCGTTTTCCTAATATGGTGGTGAGTTTTGTGGTGTGGAATGAGGAGTGATCATTGTGTAGATATCTTCCTCAAGTTATCCTTCAATGTTTAACACTTGTATAGTTTTAAGGTTCATTGTAATTTTCTCAGTGCTGTTGGAAGTAATGCAATTTAGTAAGGAGATCTAATAGTTCACCATCTTTGTTATCTCTACTTCAAATTCAACTATTAGAACTACCCCTTGGACAGAGTCCAATGGGTGAAAAGGACTACCTGTACATTGCAAATTTGGTAGTTACCTTAGCAATGGTCAAGCTGCATAATTGCTCATTGAAAGGATGGATTTTCCGAGGGTACTTCCTAATTGAAAGTACAGAGTTGGATGATAGCCCCTTAAAAAGCAGGGTGGGTACTTCGCTTTTTATAGTTAATAATGATGGATGTAGATAGAATTCAATCCATAATGCATGTGTTTGAAGTTTATTTGCTTTTATCCTTGTTGGTCTGATTTTCTGAAATGTGGCAGGCATATCATTTCTTCGCGCAATTAGTGAATTTAGAATACTTGATGCTGTTGAAGAATATTGATGAAATTCTTGTATGAATTGTTATTTTAATCCCGTATAACGTTTCCAGAATGACTGTTTCCTGCAGAAATCTTCTACTCTTGCTCATTTTCCCTTTCTTCTCCTAATATTACATGGAATCTTTGATTTAAAAAATTTTCATTCTCAGGTTGCAGCGTCTATGAAGAAGGATGTGGATGCTCAAATCCCAAACTATCCAAATCTTGCCTCTAAGCTATTGTGCCTCCTTCACAATGTCACATTGCATGTATGGATTTCTTTTATGCAAAACAGGGTAATATTATTTATTTCTTGTGATTAATGAGTATGATTTACTCCCATCTTTGATTTTTTAGGCGGACCCAGAAACTGATGAAGTCTATGCTCAGATGACACTACAACCAGTTCCTGCAGTAAGGATCTGCTTTGACATAACTAAAGGATCTGTATTTTGTGAAATGAACATAAAATTCGCTATTTCTTTTTTTTTTTTTCTTGGGTTGGGGGGAGGGATTCTGTGAAGAAGAAAGTTGCAAAGTTCTGCTCATTTTGATGTCTGAGCTACTACTTCAAATTACAAACTCAAACTGATTGTGGTTGCCATTCATGTGCAGTATGACAAGGATGCATTATTGAGGTCGGATCTATCAATGAAGGCAAATAAACCACAAACTGAGTTTTTCTGTAAAACATTAACTGCAAGTGATACAAGCACTCACGGAGGTTTTTCTGTACCTCGCCGTGCAGCAGAGAAAATTTTCCCTTCTCTTGTAAGTTCGAATCTTGAGGCTACATTCTTTCGATTTTAAGGTTTTAATCTTATATGGGAACAAATGCACTTGGGCTACACAGGATTTCACAATGCAACCACCTGCTCAAGAACTTACGGCCAAGGATTTGCATGATAACGTGTGGATCTTTCGCCATATCTATCGTGGTAGGTTGGTTTGTGGCTGTTATAAGGTCAATTGTCGAGACCTGTTAATTGCTTTTCCATGATATCATTTCTTCTTTGGCATTTAACGCTTGAACTCCTATTATTTGATCTGTTACGGTTCAGGGCAACCGAAGCGTCACTTGCTTACGACTGGGTGGAGCTTGTTTGTTAGTGGAAAGAGGCTTTTTGCGGGTGATTCGGTCCTATTTATTAGGTAATGATGTAAAATTGAGCATCCATTGCTGTCTCGATAATGATGTGTTTATCCCAATAAAGACCTATGCTTAATTAGAAGCCTACTTTTCTGGTGGATTAATTTTTTGGAACTTAAAAATCCTTCCAAGTGGCCTTAATGCTTTAAGTGCTTGTGAGCAGGGATGAAAAGCAGCAGCTTCTTTTGGGTATTAGACGGGCTAACAGGCAACCCACCAATTTATCGTCTTCTGTTTTATCAAGTGATAGTATGCACATTGGAATCCTAGCAGCAGCAGCACATGCAGCTGCAAACAATAGTCCATTCACTGTTTTTTACAATCCAAGGTCAGTGGTTTTCTATTATTCTTTCATATAATATTGTCTCAATAAATACGTGATTGAAATAATTCTTATGGGGAATGCAAATTTGCGACAGATCATTTGTTCAAAACATGGAAATCTATCTCACTTTGATGATTTTTCTGTATGTTTTCTTGTAATTGGCAGGGCTAGTCCATCAGAGTTTGTTATTCCGTTAGCCAAATACTACAAAGCAGTATGCAGCAACCAAATATCCCTTGGAATGCGCTTTCGGATGATGTTTGAAACTGAAGAATCAGGAACAAGAAGGTAGCGTTTTATTTTTCATCAAATCAAATTAGATGTAAATAAAATTGGCCTGTTAGGTCCGAAAGAAGGAATCTGAATGATGGCATCTCGTCATACAGGTTATGGCTTCGTCATTGATGCTTCAAATTTAGATGCTTCTTTCCTTAGTTTTTAAACTTCACCCTACAGATATTCTGTTTAAATTTTATCAAGCAGCTTAGTTTCTTGTCCTTTGTTACTGTTTCTTGAAATTTATGAGGGTATGCGACTTCCAAATCCATCAAAGTCTGGACTATGATGAATGGGTTAGAGGTCATAGGTTGAAGTATTTTCTAAAAGAATTAAAGAGGAAAGTAATTGTTCCGCAGGTATATGGGTACAATAACAGGTATAAGTGACTTGGATCCTGTAAGATGGAAGAACTCACAATGGCGTAATTTGCAGGTACAATTTGTTGGTTTGTTCTCTCTTGTCTTCTTTCTATTCCCTGTTTGGTTCTTATTTCTTCAACTACATTTGTTTTCCTGTTTAACATTGTTTAATTCTTTTGCTGTTCTTTTTTAGGTTGGTTGGGACGAGTCGACTGCTGGTGAAAGACGTAACCGGGTCTCAATTTGGGAAATTGAACCCGTGACGGCCCCATTTTTCATCTGTCCTACTCCCTCATTCTTCAGATCGAAGCGTCTAAGGCAACCTGGAATGCGAGGTACAAGATATCAATATCTTGACTACTTTCATTAAATTCGCATTCATTTGCTGTAAATACCAGTCTTGAGGATTGTATCACACTGTCGTGATGGGGTTGCTGCTTCAAATCTCACTAGTTTGTGATGTCAGTTTTTGTATCCCTCTTGCCTAGGCCACCCACTTTTGATTTCAAGTGAAATGGGTTGACCCTTTTCCTTGACTGAACCCACCAAGAGTTATCGTAGTTAAAAGTGGATGGTATCAGCTGATCCAATTATCTTTTCAGAAAAAGAATACAATGTGTTACAGGACACAGTTTTTGATATAGATACTATTTTTGTCCTGTATTGGTTCATCTTTGACTTTCAAAGGTATCTTTGTTTGGACCTTGGATGGAGATAATGTCAAATGTGCTATAAGACTATGATTGAGACAATAGGCCCGTTTGGAACTGGTTTTTTTAGGTAAAAAATTGCGGTTTGAAAAGCTTAGCAAAAAAGTTAAAAGTTAAAAAAGTCCGTGTTCTTTAAAAAGTTGAAACTATGAAGCACGGATATTTCGTTAAGGTTGAGCAGTGTTATTTAAGGCGTAAAGCGAACCGGTCTCCATAGGGCATAGGCAAGAAGCGAGAAGCGAATGCTTCATCAAAACAAAGCAAATAATATAAAAAATAAACAAATATTTTAGTTTAATACTATGATTACTCCTAAATATTCAAGTTTTAACTTTACAAATATAAAATATTTAAAATGCAACTAAAATAATAATATCTACATATTTTAAATAGACAAGATATTAAATATTGAATATTATTACATTTTAAAAATAATCAATTGACATAATCACGTCATCTAAATGGAAAGCTAGTAAATGTGGGTTCGATTCTCATCGTGATTGATTAATATCACCACTAAACATAACACTCACAAATTGATTAATCAATTTGATTAACCTAGCAAATTGATTAAAAAGAGCATTCACCACAAAACAGAGCATTCAATATCATTTAATCATAACAAGACAAATTATCATATGATAATGTCAGAAGAATCAATCAATTTATTTTATTGTACATATACATATATAGCATCATCTCTACTAGGGTTTAGTTGATATTAAGGAGGGGAAGGGGGAAGGGGGGGAGGAGAAGAAAATAAAAAAAATTGTAGTCAGGTGTTTACTTTTCTCGTTCAGCTCATTTCTTCGCTTCGTTGCCTAGGTTTGCATTTTCCTTACTTTACTTAAACTTGCTTCACCTTGGTTGTTCAATAGGACCAAGGCTCGCTTCGCTTTGCTTCACTTCTCACCTAGGCTCGCTTTTCACAACATGGAGGTCAAGTATCCGTATCGGATACGATATTCATCAGATACTTAAAAATACGTATCGGATATGATGCTCGTTGAATACTTGAAAATACATATCGGATATACACCAAACATATTCAATAATGAATAAAATATATGTATAGTTCGCGGATAATTCCATATACAGAGAAGTATGTGTAATTTTTAGTTTTAATCTTTATTTCTTTTGATTTCACATACAATGCAACACATCAATAAAAATTTATATAACTTAGAACACACAGGTGTTTTCTAAGTATTATCTATTATCACATGTTCAAAGAGTTTAAATAAGTTAGATTACTCTATAATCTTAGCAACAAATACTTCTAAGCAGACAATATAGTTAAATATTGGTTCTTATTTATTTGATTGATCACGTTCACTTTGTAGATGTATTATAGTGAGACGATAGATAATTTTTTGAAAATAAAAACGTATTAATGTTGTTTATTATTGTTAAAGAATCACTAAAAATTATAGCTATCAAGTCATTACATAATAGTAAAAATATAAAATATATATCTTTATAGACGTATTTCGGCTGTATCCATATTCTATTTTTGGGGATTTTACCTTATCGCCATATCTATATCTATATTGTATCGTATATCTGTATCCGTGCTTCTTAGAGTTGAAAAAATTCATTTGGAGGGACTTTCTAGCTTTGTTTGTGTCAAAATTAAAAAAATACATAATAGATCCCAAAATATGAATTTCAAATTTTTTTATGTCACTAATAATATTTTATGAATATAATAAACTAAAAAATTATGTGGGACCAGTGACAACTCCAAAAAAGCTAGAAGAAAAGCACATAAAATCAGTTTCTTGAAACAGCTGTGGTCCAAAAAGTTGCTGCATAAGCGGTAAAAAAGCCAATGGCCAAAGGACCTGACTTATTTTATTCCAAAACCCTTAAAAGCGACCTATTTAAGCTAGCTCCAAACAGGCCAATTGAAGATGTTTCCACCAGAAATAAGATGCATTTGCAATAACAATTTAAATGTTTTTTGAGTGGGTTTTGTTGGAGAATTTCTAACCATTATATTATGTTGTTATTTACAGATGATGAAGCTTCTGATCTGGATAACCTATTCAAGAGGACAATGCCCTGGCTTGGTGATGATTTCTGCATGAAGGATCCCCAAGCTCTTCCTGGCCTAAGCTTAGTCCAGTGGATGAACATGCAGCAAAATCCTGCCTTGGGTAACTCGATGCAGCCAAGCTACTTGCATTCCTTATCCGGGTCCGTTTTGCAAAACCTTGCTGGAGCAGATCTATCACGTCAATTGGGCTTGTCAGTACCACAAATTTCTCAACAGAACAACATACAGTTCAATGCTCAGAGACCACCTCAGCAAGTGCAACAGCTTGATCAGATCCAAAAGCTACCAGCTGCCACACTGAACCCACTAGGCTCAATTATACTGCAGCAACAACAACAGTTGAGTGATATTACTCAGCAACCAAGACAAAATTTAGTCAATCAAACTTTACCCACTAGCCAAGTTCAGGTCCAACTTCTGCAGTCAGACAGTCCTGTCCAAACACTGAATATGCTTCAGCGGCAGCAGTCTATTCAGAACCACCAGCTTCAAAGAAACCTTCCCCAAAACCTGCCGCAACAGCAGCAACAGCAACAGCAACAACAACAGCAACAGCAACTGCAACAGCAGATTATGGGTCAGACTCAACAGCAAAACACTATGCCACTGCATCCACCTGATCAAACAACCCAAGAGTTGCAGATGCCTGAGAATCAAATTCAGCTTCAACTTTTACAGAAGCTTCATCAGCAACAGCAGTCACTTCTAGCCCAACAATCTTCACTGCAACAGCCTTCTCAACTGAAACAACTCCAAGATCAGCAGAAACAGCTATTAGATATCTCTCAGAGCTTTTCTAGGTCCGCGACCAGCACCCAAGTGCTAGAAATGCCTCAGACAATGGCCACCTCACTTCCTCAGTCACAGATTCAACTGCAGCAACTGACGAGAACTAGTAGCCAAACAAATGTTCAGTTCTCCCATACTGCTCAGCAACCGAGGCAGCAGCAGCAACCTGGTATGTTGCCAGAATTGCCTGGGACTATGGGACACACCCCAACAACCAATCAGCTTTCCACAGCTGGCAGCAGTTTGGTGACTGTAGCTGCAGGTGGAGGCCAATCGGTCATCACTGATGATGTTCCATCTTCTTCCACTTCACCTTCCACAAACAACTGTCCAAATGGAGTTCCACCAATCACGAACAGTAGGGCCCATCAGAGCACAACCGTGGGGGATGAGATGACTCATTCATCTGCCACTCTACTATGCTCCAGTGGTTTGGACACCATGCCTGGTCATCTTAACATGGTTAAAGATTACCAGCAAAAACCTGATGTGAAGCCTCCATTGAACATCTTCAAGAATCAGAACCAAGGATTCTTTACCCCACAAACGTACCTAAATGCTGCTGGACTCCAGATGGATTACTTAGACAGTTCATCTTCAGCAACTTCCGTTTGCCTTTCTCAAAATGATGCTCACTTACAGCGGACCACAAGTCCTATGGCTTTCAATCCACAACCAATGTTGTTTAGAGACACTAGTCAATATGGGGAAGTTCAGAATGACCCCAGGAACAATGTTCCATTTGATGCTAATGTTGATAGTCAGTTGGAAATGCCCATGATGCCTGATCCTTTGATCACAAAGGACGTGGTGGGGTCAGGGAAAGATTTCTCTAACAATCTTTCCGCAGGTGGCGGCATGCTTTCCAGCTACGAAAACCCCAAGGAAGCTCAACCTGAACTTTCATCATCAATGGTTTCCCAGTCATTTGGAGTTCCAGATATGGCATTCAATTCAATTGATTCCACAATAAATGATAACAGCTTCAGAGGTGCCTGGGCCTCACCACCACAGTTACCACGAATGCGGACGTACACAAAGGTTTGGTGTTGAAGGTTATTTTTGCATCTGGAATGTCATGTTTTCTTCTCTATTTTTTGGCTAGCTTTGAATTCTGAATTGGCAAGTGTGTTTATGAAGGTATACAAGCGTGGAGCTGTTGGAAGATCAATTGACATTACTCGTTATTCTGGTTATGAGGAGCTTAAGCAAGATTTGGCTCGTAGGTTTGGTATAGAGGGACAGCTGGAGGACCGGCAGAGGATTGGCTGGAAACTTGTGTATGTGGATCATGAGAATGACGTCCTACTGGTTGGGGATGACCCTTGGGAGTAAGTCCACCAATACATTTACCTTCAGTTTTCCCTATGTCTCTGTTAACTATGGATTTTCTCAAATAATAACTGGAATATGATAAGTAATCACACATGAAGAAAAGACAAGGGGGGAAGGAGAGGAGAGAAGGGGAAGAGGCTTGGGTTGATGGTGTGGAAAAAATCTTTGGAACCTGTTTTATATGCAGTAGCAGCTCAATTGAATCCTTGACGAGAATGTCAGTAATGATCGAATTAGGGTATTTTACCACAATATAGTACAAAAAATTAACTATAGTGTGTTGACTGGTATGAGAACATTACCCAAAGCTTCTTTGTCCAAATAATTAGTGACAACTTAGGTTCATTCCTAGCAATCCAGTGCACTTTCAGACTTCGTATCTCCTATATATTGCAGCAATTCTTGCAGAATTTTGTGTGCTCGTCTTTTTTCAATTTCAAGTTATTTCTTAGTTAGCTGGTTTATTATCGATAATTTTTAGTCTTAGTGGTTCACAATGTAAATTTTACCAAGTTTTCCATCTTGGCTTACATGTTAAATCTGGTCTTTGGTTCTGTTTAGGGAGTTTGTGAACTGCGTCCGTTGCATCAAGATCCTTTCTCCTCAAGAAGTTCAGCAGATGAGCTTGGATGGAGATTTTGGGAACAGCATACTTCCCAATCAAGCTTGCAGCAGCTCGGATGGTGGAAATGTATAAATTAGACGACTAGGGTTCTAGCGATTCTTCTTCCATATTTAGGATCTTTCAAAATGATTACTAGGGATCTGTTTGTTTCTCTCAATATAGCATATATTTTCCACTACTGGGTTTTCCTGTCTCGCCTAATGGTACACAACGGGCAAGCAATTATGGCCAGCAGATCCTCTGGCAGCTGGAACATGTTTTTTGAATATCAGGACCTGCTAAGGTGAGAAGTTTGTAAAGTTGCTAAGGTGAGAAGTTGATAAAAAGAAAAGTATTAGATTGTTATGAAAGTGCAGATGGAGAACAAGGCTTGGTCCAATTATGAAGGAGAGCTATATACCAGTTTAGATAAGAAACCAGCTGGGCATGGATATTATATCTTTCGGTATGATAATGCTTTTTGCGAGATCAAACTTAAGTTCCTTTTAGCCTTTTTTTTTTTCTATATTGAAAATCTTCTCAGGCAGGTACATTGTAGCAAGTAGAAGCTTTAAATTTGTATGAATTTATATGGTGTATTTTTTTTCCCAGTGTATAGAAGTTTAGATTTCTACATTAACCCTCCAACAAAATAGCTTATAATGAATTGAGGAATTCTGTGCTGTGGGTGTTTTGGAAGTTTGGAGTACTTGGTAAAATCAAATAGCTCTTTTAGCCACTATGAACTTTTAGAAATGGACCTCTGATTCAGAAAACTCGCCTAAAAGATTTCAGGATTTTGTAAAAGACAAGGACGAGATATATCAAATTTGATAATGGAAAAGGAGCAGGAATTCCACCGCGGGACACTCTTTTGTGATCTTCGACTCTAGCAAAAAAAAAAAATGACCTTGAACTTCTTTTTTATTTTTATAACAAAAAGACTTTAATTTAACGTTCACTATATTATTTCTATGCCAAAATAATATTTAAATAATTTATCATATTTTTTGTGTATAAAATTTAAAATTTTTAATTATATTTTATTAATTTTGTATATATAATTATGTATGTATGTACATAGTATGATGCTCCTACTCTAAATTTATTTTAAATTTTTTCGCTTTTACGCTCCAACTCTTTTCGCTTTTACGCCCCAACTCTCGTTCTTGCTCTGTATATGACTTAGGGTCTAAGATAAGAACTTTTGATTACAAAAAGGATAAATGTAGAAGGAAAGATGGAATCATTCTCAGGGTTCTTTGGTTGCTGGATTGGGGGGGATGTTTTGTTGGGATTGGGTAGGATACACTCGGCGCAATAATTTTCTTGTTTAACAATGGTTTTTCTTGATAAGATTGTGAATCAGGACTCACAATCAGCATTGCAAATAACTCTATGTACATGCGTTATTGAAACTCACCTAGGGTTTGGTATTCAAATGGGTGAATTTGGATTAAAATTCATATTATTAATGTGTCCTTGCTGTTAGTAATATGTTCTAAGACTAATCATATAGATAATATTTTAGGTGGTACTAGCAACATTCATTACTTAATTAAATAAAAGAGTAAGTTTATTTATCATGTTTATGTTTTATTTTATTTCAATATGCATGATAAAGTACATAGAATATAAGTTAAGAAAATAGTTTCTCAATAATGTTGAAAAGAGGAGACCTAGGGTGTGTATGGTTAGCTTCTGCAAAATAGTTTTTTATTCTCAAAATTTCAAAAACACAAAAAATCTGTTTGTTTAATATTTTTGTTCTCTAAATTTTGGGACAAAATGAGATTTGAGTCAAAAAAACATAAAATAAGTGTAACTTGTTTTTAGAATTTTCTTTGAAAATTTTGGAAATAAGGAGAACAATTTTGAATGTTTAGATATGAGTACGTATATATATATATATATATATATATTAAATTGTCAATATAAAAATAACTTTTTTATATTTTTTCATTAATGTTCGAATTACTGTTCAAATATATATTTAGGCTGTCCAAATAGGTTTTACTATTTTCTGCATTAAAAAATTATTTTTGAAATCATCTAACCAAACAAGTTTTTTATCTCAAAAAATATCAAAACCACTTTCTTAAAACCATTCTCAAAAACTGATTTTCAGATACTATTTTTTGAAATGCAAACTAAACAGGCTCCTATACTTCTTTATATTTAAATTTTAATGTTTCTAGTCATAGGATTACTATGTGGGTACTATGTAAGCTGGGTAAACTAGCATACACTATGTTAGCTCATATTTGATATTAAGTGGCTTGTTTAAGTCACTAGTGTAGGGACATTGAAGTAGGTGTGTGAGTGCTTGTTAGAGAATAAGTACACTCAACGTGACCATTAACTAACGTAGGATTTTCATATAGAGTTTTACATACCTATCAATATTAAATCTTAAGTACAGTTATGCAACTAATCCTTAGATTTGAGACACCATGGTTATCTTGTGTTTGGACTTCTATGTTTTAACTATACAACTTATTAATATACTAACCATGTAACTTAGATATGTATTGTTAGATATTGTTAGACATGCATGGAGCCTTATGTATATACAACATGTAATTTATCACCCTTAGTAAATAAAGGGAGAATGTCCTATGTAATCTTCTAGGATATGACTCAAGAAGTCCTTGGTCAAGGCAGAATAAAAATTAGAAAAAAAGTTTATAATTGATCATTAGGAGTCATAATCATAAGATCGATCAAATAAGATTGAGTTATAGGTTTGATAGTAATTCCATATCCTTGTAATTCAATTGGAGCATTGTGTGATGGAAGAATTGAATTGCATGGTAACTATAGACTAAATGGGTTCTTTACTTATTTTGTGCTATTCGGAGATTGATCATGATGTACTACTATGTGTCACTCATGATTAGTAGAAGTTCAAAGAATAAAATTAATATAAATATATTAATTATTCTTCATAAAGGGGGAATTAGAAGAGCTTTAATTTAAGCTAAATTAGAAAGAATTCTAATTTGAGATGTTACTTGTAGTTAGAATTAAATGTCTATAACCGGTTGTGCTTGAACGTATAGAGTCACACACAATAGAATTAATTGGAAGCTAAAGGGTAAAGGAGAGAAAACCAATTAAGAGTTAATTAGAGTGAAAACTTAATTAAGAGTTAATTATAGACTTTATTATAATTAATAGTTAAGAAAGAGGTTATATATAATTATGAGATAATTACACCTAGACTCAAACTAGGGTTAGAGTCTTCTATGGCTCCTAAATATCTTAACATATGAGGTGAATATATGAGATAATAACTCTCTCTTACTAGCAGAAGAAAAATTCACTCACCATTCTCTTTCTCCACTTGTTTATCAAAGGTTTTGAGATAAATCTTTTAAGTTTATCAATTCGAGTGGATACCGATAAAGGTCAAACAATTGCGAGATTTGAGGAAAGATTAAATTCAGATTTGAAGATTAAATTTTTTTAAGAAAGCTTGAAGATCGTTAAAAGCATGATTCAAGAGGTAACTCTTAATCTTTTCTATGGATCTAAAGTTTCTCAGTTTATTTTAAACATGAATAGATCTTGAAATGAGGAATCAAATTATTTTTAAATTTCACTGCATTAATTATATGATTCCTTTCACTTGCATCAAATCAAAAATTTCATTGGATGAAGGATAATATTGTCAAAAGTAACATGATTTGATGTCACATGTGGGTTTGTTCCATTCTAATCCAACCATTTTCAAACATGAGTATAGTATAAAATTATCATATTACTATTCAAATATATCCTTAAAATTCAATTACATGGGTTTGGATCGGTCTTACCAAATCCAACTTTAAATTGTGAAACTTACCACACGGTCATGAAAGGTATTTTAATGTGCACGCCTTTATTAAACAATCTAAAATAATAGCAATATTTTAAGAGTTTTTGTTTCGTATATACAAAGTATTTTAAGTTCACGTCTAGCTTTAAAACCACCAACTTTTCAACAAAACTTTTGGCAAAAATTAAGAAAATTGATTAATTTGGATGGTTTCAATCTTAATAAGCCTATAAATTTTAGGAAATTGGTATGTTCTTGGGATTTGACCCAGGATCAAGCAAATTTTTGGCGCCGTTGTCGGTGATTGAAAGGTAATTTTGGAAGATGAAAAAGAAAAAATCCGCCTTCACCAACAAACTACTTGGAGATATCTCTTTCCAAGTAACCTCATTCCATTATTTATTTGTACTTTTGATTTATTGCTGCCATTAGAATTTTATTTTTCTTGTTATTTTGTCTTATTTTAGTTATAATAGTTGCATTCATCTCTTGTCCACATTGCATGTCTAGTAGTGAAAACTTGGACTCCAATCAAGTCGAATTCCTTTTTAGAGAATTAGTTGGTCCATCGAGTCCTTCTAGTCCTTCCAAGTCATTCACTTATCACATTTTTGATCTAAGTAGAATAGGTAGCGACATGAGTGATCGAAATAATTATGCACTAGAGGTCAACCAGTAGGTCAGAACTCTTAGGGATTATCTACATCCCGCATGGAGTAGTGTCCCATCTTGCTTTGTATTTCCTGCCAATGCACCAAACTTCACTATGAAACTTGGCATGATCTAATTACTACCCCAATTCCATGGCCTCAATTCTGAAAACCCTTCTTGCACATGAAAGAATTTGATCAAGTTTGTGGGATTTTTCCAAATAATTATGAGTTCGATTGGTTAAAGCTTTTCCCCTTCTCAGTGAAGCATAAAGCTAAATAGTGGCTAAATACATTAAAGCACCACTCCATACCAGATTGGCAAGCTCTTTAGAGAGATTTTTTCAATAAATTTTTCCCTCTCGACAACACTAATGCACTAAAACAACAAATCATGAATTTTGCTATTAAAGAGGGATAATCATTTTACTAGTGTTGGGAAAGATTTAAGGATCTCCTCCATGTTTGCCCCAACCATGGTTTTGAGAGTTGGACATTAGTATGATTCTTTCCCTACTCCTTTGCATCATTTTGTATAGATGATGGCTCAGGAAGAGTTCATGGGGAAGAGTCCTCATGAGGCTTTTGAGTTCTTTGACACTTTAGCTAAGAATTCCTAGATGTGGGACTCGGCCTCATCCAATAGTTTAGATACTAGGGCTACCACTTCCTAAGGGGAAAAAATATCTGTTAAACGAGGAAGATGACCTTAGGGCCAAGATGGCCACATTGTCTCAAAAGCTCGAGGCTTTGGAGATGAGGAACGTTAATGAAGTCACTAATGTGCCTCTCATAGAACAATTGAGTGAATTTGTGCTTTGTTAGGGCATCCCACAGGAGAGTGCCTCACCATTCCAATATTTAAGGAGGTTTTGTTGGAGCAATTCAATGCAATCTACAGATACACTAAGCCTTATTCCAACCAATATTCTGAGAGTTACAATCTAGGGTATCTAGGGTAGAAAAACCACCAAAACTTCAGTTGGAGAAATGCATAGCACCTAATGAGCACGTATTATTGCAAATTTAATAGCCTCATTACATTCATTTTAACTTAACTTTGCATTTAATTACTTAGAGTTAGTCAAATTTGTGAATAATGTGAAAATTTTAATGTTGTAGGTAATCATAGGGTAATTGATGGCTTTCGAAACCCTACAACTAAGTGTGGATGAGTGGTGAAGATATGGACATATTACATGA